CACCGTCACCAACGTGACCAAGTAACGACAATGTTGATCAAATTGACAGATCCATACGTTGGATTGCAGTGGAATGTTACGTATGCACTGCCACCTTTAATATTATGTACTAGTACAACAACTAAAACTATATTACACGGTAATTTTACAGTACAACCGATTTATCATTGAATGAGTATTTTGCCTTGCTGTACAATTTGTAAATTTTAATTTGTAGGACCTACGCTGCACTGTATATACTATAGACTATAGTGTGTATCTATCCTTGGTAGTTATCCATCACAATTTATGGAATCAATCAGAATTTATTGTATATGATGGATAATTGCCAAAATAAATAAATTAAAAAAAACTTAAAAAAAACTGCAAATGACGTACTATGCTGACGTTGACTCAATGTTACTGACACTGACGCTGATAGGGTCTATGTCCCCCAGGCCACAGGGTACTGCCGGAACGTACCCTGGGTACGGTCCGGTATACCGGAACGTACCGTGGTACTAAATACTACTATCTAATATACCGGACCGTAATAATCAGTATGAGTATCCCTAATCACTATCACTGTTATCAGCGACACTGTCACTGACACTGACACTGACACTGTATCAGACAATCAGTGTATGGTGGGGGCGATACTAAATAACTCTACGACATAAACCACGATAGTATGGACATCACCATAGATATGTAATACTATAATTACGTCAAGTGTTACGATGAACTAACCGGTATGTAATTTTTATAAGTTACTAGTCTATAGTTTTGACCTCCACTCTCAATCCAAAGATGGTGCTTCCTACAGACAGGTGGCACTGCTGATACCGACGCCAGCGCTACCTATCGGGATTTCTAAATGCGTCTATGGCAACGCCAAAAATTTTATGATGGGAAAGTTGTAACCTCTTCGTAAATAAGACGGAAATACCTCTTTTTAAGTCCTTGTAAGACGAAAATTTGCTTTGCCTTGACAAGATGGCACAAGAACAAGAAGATGCTGATGTTGCCAAGCTAGAGTTGGTTTCAACAATTGGATTCGATGGTAAACAGACACGAGATAGCATTAATACCCATTATATAATAATAATTAATATTAATAACCTACTACTGCTCATAGGGTCTATGTCCCCCAGGGTACTGCCGGAACGTACACTAGGTACGGTCCGGTAACTACTAGTAATATAGTATTAGTGAATAGTGGGGCTGAGAGGGTCTATGACTATGTCCCCCAGGTTACTGCCGGAACGTATACCCTGGTTACAGTCCGGAATAGACCAATAAATTGTGCCCTAAAATTTTGGCACAAGGCTTTAGGTATTTCTTTGATTTTATATGTAACACGGCCGTAAATAGTGAAAAGGTTGTCGTGCATTTTGCACGACAGAATTCACAGGTTTTGTCTATGGAAGGCTATTGGGCCCTAAAATAACATCAGAATATAAAAATTTTAAGGGCACAATTTATTGGTCTATCTTTGGAATGTGCAGGGAAATCCTGTAGATAAGGAAATTCTGTCTTTATTGAGTACTATAGTAGGTACTAATAGTAATAGTACGAGTATCTTCTGACAGTTTGTATTGTAAGCCTACGCTACACTACAGTATCATCAGGAGCTAATAATGACAACGAAGTAAGACAGCGATTTGGTACTGATTTCACTACATTTTTATCGTACGAGTTCGATGTGAATAAAAATACAAATGTATACAAACATGAGCTTATTTTGTTCACTGGTCCTTATTCTATCTTCCGGTAGTATTACAAATCGCGTAGCTTCCTTCGTTTTGACATAATTCGTACTTTTGCACGACATGGTTTTCACGTTAGTTACCGTATTCTGGCGAGGCCAAGCTCCAAATTCGCACACACAGGCTGACACAGCTACTTGAAGGAGGCACGGCAGGGATCGCCTCAGGCTGTGCCAGCGGCAACTGTACGTGGACGGTTGCTATGCAAAACATGTGCGAAAAGCTACAATCGGCTGGAGCGTCAGTTAACTCATAACGATTCATACACATCATTCCTCATTGTTCCAAATAGTTCAGATATTTTACCAGCGCAGCGTTTATTTAAAAAAACTGCGGGATTCAACCATAAAAAAGTTTTAATTTTTAAACCAAGCATGGGTGCAACGTAACTTAATTTCTAGGCGAATTTTCTGCACTCGACTAGGCTACGGCCGAAAAGCCCTGGCGCGCCTCCTTCAAGTAGCTGTGTGTGCGAATTTGGAGCTTGGCCTCGCCAGAATACGGTAACTAACGTGAAAACCATGTCGTGCAAAAGTACAAATTATGTCAAAACGAAAGAAGCTACGCGGTTTGTAATACTACCGGAAGATAGAATAAGGACCAGTGAACAAAATAAGCTAATGTTTGTATACGTTTGTATTTTTATTCACATCGAACTTGTACGATAAAAATGTAGTGAAATCCGTACCAAATCGCTGTCTTACTCCTTTGTCATTATTAGCTCCTGGTATCATGTAACCGAGTCCGAGTTTTCCCTGACCAATGCCCACACCGACGATTTTTGGTGGATCATTTGGTGTGGGTTGTGCCTGTGGTCAAAACCCACACCAAGGGCCCATAGTTATACTCATACACATAGTCATAGGGTCTATGTCCCCCAGGGTACTGCCGGAACGTACCCTGGTAACTATCTAGCTGATATGGTTAGGGTTAGGGTTAAGGTTAGTGTTAGGGTTAGGGTTAGGGAGTAGGCGTAGGCGACTCCCTAGACTCGTTAATGGAGTAGGCGAGGTACGGTCCGGCATATTAGATAGTAGTATTTAGTACCAGGGTACGTTCCGATATACCGGACTGTACCCAGGTTACATTCCGGCAGTACCCTGGGGGACATGGACCCTTTTAGCGTAACTAATACGACTAATAGTAATACTAATACTAATAGTAATACTGTAATAGTAATAGCTAATACTAATAATAGTAATAGTAATAGTAATAGTAATAGTAATAGTACGAGTATCTTCTGACAGTTTGTATTGTAAGCCTGTGCTACACTACAGTATTATGTAACCGAGCCCGAGTTTTCCCTGACCAATGCCCACACCGACGACTTTTGGTGGATCATTTGGTGTGGGTTGTGCCTGTGGTCAAAACCCACACCAAGTTCACAAAAAATCGTCGGTGTGGGCATTGGTCAGAGGAAACTCGGACTCGTGTAGTGCACAGGCAGTGCGTTTCAATAAAATATACACAGTGGCTATATGCCCGGCAGCCGGGCACGGTCCTCGATTTCCTAAATGCCCGGCAGTCCACATCCACATCCATGCACGCACATCCATGTATGCATGACACATCCATAATATATAATTCCAATAACCCTGAATAGCCAAACTCGTACAGCGGCGGGCGTTACGTCTGAAGGTCGTTGGTTCGAATCCCATGTTTTAATTTTTTAATTTTTTTAATTTTTCTATCTTTATCCATTTAACTATTTTTTTCCAATTAACGCAAATATTTACATGATTTATTTAGAACAATTTAATTTAAAAAATATAATGCTAAATAAATACGAAGTCTATTTACTACCAAAGTCTTAATGTTTCTATACTATCACCTATTATTGCCGACAATTTCCTGTAAATGCTGTCCAAATGCTCATCTGCAACACACGCTGGCTGCCGCACGCTAGCTGCTGCACACTGACACATAAATATATAGTTATTTATTTTTGTTATTTTATGTGTTTATTTTTATATGTTTATATATCATTTATGTGTCAGTGTGCAGCAGCTAGTGTGCGACAGCCAGCGTGTGTTGCAGATGAGCATTTGGACGGCATTTACAGGAAATTCGGCAATAATAGTGAAAGAGAGTAGAGAAACATTAAGACTTTGGTAGTAAATAGATTTCGTATTTATTTAGCATTATATTTTATTTAAACGCTCCAAGTGCCTGTGGTGTAGTGTAGGCTTACAATACAAATTGGCAAATACAATTTTCTGTAGCCCTACTCTGTTGTGTTGTGTTACATCATAGACTATTATGTCTAGTTGATTAATCACGAATCAGGTTTGTGTGATAATACCATGCACACAGTAAACGTAACACTGATTCTTGATTAATTTGACTGGCTGAGTGACTGTTCGCACAAGGTTCTCCCCTCCCCTCCATTTATATCGGTGTATATATATCGACTGCATTTATACTAGATACAATATTGTAACCCAACACAACAGAGTAGGGCTACAGACATTGCAGGGCTGCCAACATTGAGTTTATTATAATTATGGAGTGAGATTATGCGATGGAGCGTAGTGACTGAGCGGGAGGAGGGTGTGGGAGGGGTGCACCCCCCTCCCCACACCAGGGAGCTTTTGCATTTTCAGCTTGAAATTGTGCATTCCTGTGCATACTTAAGTGAGTTTTTAAACACACATGTATGCAATGCAATACACTGTGGTTCTACTTTTAGAAGGATTAGGTACATGTGAATTTTTCAGGAGTAGAAATTAACTTTTAAACAAGGGAGTCCAACGGACTCCCTGGCCTCAAAAAGAGAGAGTCCGCAGCAAAATGAGGGAGTCCGTAGTCTGAAGTTCAAAACTAAAGATACCTATTAGTATTAGCAATAATACATGTGCTTATTTTGAAGATTTAATATTAAAATTTAACTAACAAGAAATCCTGGGCACAATACAGAATGTGTTTCTTCCGCATTCTTAATTAAAATAAATACAACGAAAATGCGTACAAACAGAAACAAAACAAGTATAGCAGAATTTTCAGGGAGTCACACAGACTCCTGCATATTATGTCAAATCAGGGAGTCCGACAGTAAATCAGGGAGTATTTGACTCCAGACTCGCGTCAATTTCGCACCCTGTGTATATATATGAATATTTTTTATCTGTTTGTTTCTATATGCCTGAGAATTAGCAGACCAGGAGTCAGGACGTGAGATTAGCCTCAATTGCGTGAGTCTCACACCGAATGTGTGAGAGTTGGCAGCCCTGACATTTGTATAGCATGTAGGACTGTAGGAGCGGTCCAGATCGTGGACGTGTATTACTCCACCCCCATACCCTATGGCATAGGCACTTAGGACACAATCCTAATTTTATCCATCTACTCTTCTCAACCTGTTCAAGTTCTACCTTGCCATTTCAAGTATAGAATCATGGTAAATAAACAAATCGTATTTACTACCAAGAGCTTAATGTTTATCTACTCTCTATAAACTAATAAGTTCATGTAAATACTGTTTAAGTTGTCTTCAGCAACAGGATCTCACCACACACTGGGTTTTCTAAATGTAGAGTTCTATCTATATAGGGTTCTAAGTTAAGAGGGTTTCTATTGATTTATTTCTTT